GGGGGGGGGTGAGTACGATCATTAATTAAGCGGCGCAGTTTGGAGAATTAAGATTGCATTTTGAGGGAAGATCCATGGCAAGAGTTGCATTAATCTTGAAAGTAGATATTATTGGACTGTTTTTGAAAGTGCAAAGGCAAGGCAAATCTGCTTTGCCTAAAGCAGTGCAGCATTTTTCAGATGGTGGCATTGGTTTAGGACCAGATACTGCTGGCTTACACGACATTAGATCAGCAATGCTTAAACCACACGATGAATCTCCTGCCGCCGCTATTTCAATTCCAACGGATGCAACCATCACAAGTGCCACAAAAATGACAAGTTTTTGCTTTGCTTCCATTATATCTCAATTACTCCTAGTGCTATATATATATAATGACTTTTTTATTACTATCTTTGTTTTGTGGATGGATGTTTTGAGGAGTGTGGTTAAGGGCTTATATAGAGGATGAAGACATTGGCTTTAGGCTACACTAGCTAGCTAGTTGATGACTATTTTCTTTTGGTTAATGACATTTCACATGCAGTTCCAAATGGAAACATGATATGTCCAATAAAAATATAATGATTTTATAAGTACATGGATTTATAAGAGCAAACTTTCGTCAGGTTAACACACCCACCTTACATTCTCGGATTAAGATAGTTGAAGATATAATTAAGCAAATAAAAGCAAGTACTTAACGGTTTAAACTTTTAGATAAAATTGTTATATATAGGGATGGATCTATATGGGAGGGGGTGGGTCACGTGAACCCATGCTCCTCGCCCTATGATATATATAGCACTTGTATTTTTCCGATTTTACTCTTAAATAAGCATCTGTGAACTCATTGCTCAAGTGAGCACTTTGGCTTAACGGTCAATGAGTGCACCTTTACCCCCAAGGTAAGGGGTTAGATCCCTGCTTACTTCCTTAGACCTTTTAATTAAAAATGCTTTTATTTCTTTATTGTTGCCTTTTCTTTCTTGGTTACTCGGCGTAAGATCACCGATAATAATAATTTGTAAGTATTTGTTGAAAAAGAGAACTTCAAAATTGAATGGCTAATCTCTCGAAAAAAATTACATTTGTCAATAAATGAAGTACCAAAAAAAAAGATAATAAAATTAATCTTAAACTTTCACTATAATAAAAACTAATAATGCAAATCATATATCTATAGGGAAGTAGAAGTACATAAAAAAATCTATGTAATAGGATGGACGAAGACTTTTGGCTTGCTATATATACTACAACAACAACAACAATAACAACTCAGTATAATTCCACTAGTGGGATCTGAGGAGGGTAGTATGTACGCAGACCTTATCCCTACTCTAGGGTAGAGAGGTTGTTTCCGATAGACCCTCGGCTCCCTCCCTCCAAGAACTCCCTCACCTTGATCTTGGGGTAACTCGAACTCACAACCTCTTGGTTGGAAGTGGAGGGTGATCACCATTAGAGCAACCCACTCTTGTCAACGTAAGATATTTAAAACTGTAAGTAATGATGCTATTATTGATAGTTTTCAAAGTATGAAAAGTCGTCGAGGACATAAATAATGCTAATAATATTAATTAGAGTTTGCTCTTCAACTTAGGTCGTTGTAAAAAAATTTATTATATTGTCAAATTATATATTTATCTAAAGATAATGGTGCACTCATCTATACTATATTAAAAGCATGAAGGTCCTTAGCGAAATGTCATTCGATTTTTTTACCCTTTTAAAATAGATTCACATTGGATAAAATAGTCATTTAATTATTTACCTAATATATTTAGGATCTTATAATCACCTAAAATTTTGTATATTGAATCCTTCCTTATTTAAAATAGTACTATATAAGAAGTCCAAATATTTAGGACTTTTAATGCAATTAAAATTAAAATAATAACTAATACAAATCCTTTCTAAACATGAACTGTGTAACATGTCGACATAAAAATGTAAAGTTTACATGGAAACTTTACGTCATTAATATGGTGGTAAAACTAGAGCATCTTTTATGAGCTATATTTTAAAATTCAAATTTATGTTACATCAATTAGATAATAATATGTATGATTGATTTTTTGTTTTGTTTGAGTATTTAATTAAATGATTGGTTCTTAGGTAAAATATGTCTATTCATTCATATACTAACATTTATTTTACAAATTGAAACTAGATAAAAAGGGAATGATCAGATTTATATAATTATAAAACAAATAAAAAGTACGATTAAGTTGAATTTAAAATAACACATCACAAAAATTATATAGTGTTGGATTTACGCTCAAAATTCTTTTGAATCGTAATACCTTGAAAGTTACGGATACCAATCTCAAGCTACTTTAAGAAATAAAAAAACTAATGCAAACACATACATCTTATTGGAAATTTATTTAATATTTCAACTAAATCTTGCACATTAGATCCTTTCCTTATTTTAATTATGTGATATAATACCAAAAATGAAAATATTCACAGAGAATAAGTAAAACCATAACTATTACTTGCTGTAGGTTTGAATTATTCGTTGTATAAAATTATAATCAATTAGTTTTATATAATTTAATTATCTAAATAAAAAATGTAAGTGAAATAAATTATTAGTAGGAAGCTATAACTAAATTAGATAGTGTCAATCGGCTTTCCTTCAATTTTTTTATTCTTCATTACAGATATATAATCGGTCATAAAATTAAAACCAATTAGTTTATAAATTTAATTATCTTAGTAAAAATAAAAAATAGAGAAATTGTTTTGTGAAAATTTATGTTTAATTGTCCGGGTATAAAATAGTATGTCATTAGCCTTTAATCAAATATTCAAACTATAAAATTATGTACCAAAATATAAAACATTATAATAAATTCTATAATTAGATATATTTATAATCATTATACTCTTTAATCAACATACAATGCTAAAAATACTTTCTAAATGACACTGAACAATTGCAGTTAGGTATACAAAATTTAATAATATTTATATAAAAAAAATTTCTTAATATGTGATACACGCGCAAAGCGCGTAGGAATGAATTCTTTTAGTCTTTTAGATTGTTTTTGATCTGCCATGTATTTCAAAATTATTCTAAATTTTTTATTGGCATGATGACATAATCCTATTATTCTATGATCCACGCTTTAATTATTGATCTAAATTCCATGTTGCTTAGTATTTTTTATGCTCCTATGTAATTTTATTCATATATTTGATATTTTTTTTTATATCGTTATCATGCCAATTTGATTTTATAAACTTTTTTGAGATAAGAATAAGCAGACGAATCAAAAGAAGGGAACAAAATAGGATTGAAATGGTGATAATAACCCTAAATATTTTTAGATGACTAGATTCATTTTTCTTATTCGAAAACTATAATTTTCCAAATTCTTTCTAAATATTTTCCCTTTGAAATTATAACAATAGAAAATGTAATACAAAGTTAGTTTATATAAAATTTATCACAAATATATTAATGCTAAATTGATAAGAAAAAAAATACAAAATCAGGATGAAGCATTTATAGTCAAACACATTGTTCTTGCGCATATATTTACCTTACGCGAGGCACACGTGCAATGCACGTACACTAAACTAGTACTATTAAAATGTTGGATACGCTTCTGATTATATTTGTACTTCAACATGATATCAGAGCAAGTAGAAATCCTAAGTTCGAATCTTACCACCACCCATCTAAGTTATCGTATAGAAATTATTAGAGCTTTCTTGTGCTAATTTTACGGCAAAGGGCCAAATATACCCCTGTACTTTCGAAAATGGTCTAAGAATACCCTTCGTTATACTATTGGGCTATATATACCCTTCCCGTCATACTTTGGAATAAATATATCCTTATTTATGGAGTGTCACGTGTCAGCACCAGATGAAAACGACCCATTTCATGTTTTTACCCGATCCGCTTTAAAAAACTCACCACCCGACCCGTTTTAAAATTCAGTTTTTTTAAATCATATATTTTGTAAAAACTGAATTTTTTTTGTAGAAACTGGAAAAAAAAAAAAGAAATTTACATAATATATATTTTAAAGTCTTTTCAGTTTTTTAAAGTATTTTTTTTGTAAAAACTGAAAAAAAAATATTTTTTTTTAAAAATACTTAAAAAACTGAAAAATATATATTCCGTAAAAATTGGAAAAAAAAAGGAATTTGCAAAATATATATTTTTAAGTCGTTTCAGTTTTTTTAAAGTATTGTTTTTGTAAAAACTGAGAAAAAAAAATTAAAAAAAATAGAAAAAAAAACTCTCCTAAAGCAGTGGACTACATATGCATTAGTTTTTAAAAAATAAAAATATTTTGCAAAATCTTTTTTTTTTCAATTTTTACAAAAAAATACTTTAAAAAACTGAAAAAACTGAAAAATATATATTTTGCAAATTCCTTTTTTTCAGTTTTTACAGAATATATATTTTTCAGTTTTTAAAGTATTTTTTAAAAAAATATTTTTTTTCAGTTTTTAGAAAAAAAATACTTTAAAAAAATTGAAAAGACTTAAAAATATATATTTTGCAAATTTCTTTTTTTTAATTTTTACAAAAAAAATTTCAGTTTTTACAAAATATATGCTTTAAAAAAACTGAATTTTAAAACGGGTCGGGTGGTGGGTTTTTTAAAACGGATCGGGTAAAAAATGAAATTGGTCGTTTTTATCTGGTGTTGACACGTGTCACTCCATCCAAAATAAGGGTATATTTGTTCAAAAGTATGACGGGAAGGGTATATATAGCCCAATAGTATAATTAGGGGTATTCTTAGATCATTTTCGAAAATACAGGGGTATATTTGACCCTTTGCCGCTGATTTTATCCGGTATCCTACCCATTGAAGAATGTTATGCTGATAAAAGATAATAATTTGATTAAGGAATATTTTTAAAAGAATCTGGACACCGACTAACAACAAATATTAAGGTGTTGATTAGTGGCAACAAATCTCGTTACTCGTGAGGAAAGGTTGGCAAAGTTGGCTTCACATATCACGGACTTCCTTTCCTAATAATTGCAAGTACTAAACTCTTTTTAAGACAAAAGAAAAAACAAATAAATCCAGCTTTTATATTGCTTTTAGCCTTTCTAATCAAAATTTTAATGTCACGAGCAAAGATTTCTGATAAATACGTTGCTTGACCTTCCCCTTGTAGCATTGTAGTATATACTGTGGAACCAGGAAACATCAACTAGCAAAACCAGGTATTGATGCGCCCATGGTGCTAAATAGTACTCTCTCCATTCCATTTTATTTGACATGATTTGGAGTACGAAGGTCAATATATTTAATTTTCGATATAAACTCATACATAGAAGGAATATTTTTCTTTTTCATATGTGAAAACTAACTAAAAGGTACTATAAGTCACAATAATTAACAATTCAAAAAATTTAAAAAGTATTTGAAAAATTAATGTCAGATAAAACGTATTCGACTTTCTAAATAAATTGTATCACATAAAATAGAACAGAAGAAGTTATTTATTTTCTCTTTTCATTTGCCATTTGTTGATAAGTTGAGAGTCTT